GGCCACACACACACACATAAATTAAAAAAAAAAAAAAAAAAAAAGAGAGATACATAACTAAAATAGCCTCCAAAGTTGAGGTATCACATCACACAAGAATGAAGACTAATTAAGTAACAAAGGACAAAATGAATTATTGGTTTAATTTCCCTAGCCACAAAAAGTTGTTACTTTCATCAATTATCAGAGAGGCAGTACCTCCTAAAGTGAAAAAGAAAACAGGTCTTCTAATATCTCTGTGATTTTATACAAGGCACTCTCTTAGGCTTACCTCAATTTCTACATTAAGGAATGAAGGAGGAAAGGAGAGAGGAAGGAAGGGAGGGAGGGAGAGAGAGAGAGAGAATGGAGAAAAGATACACAGAAAATACTGACACTTGTCTGTCTTACCATGAAGGACTATCAATGAAAGAATGTAAATAAAATCACATATACAATACACATGGAAACCAGGAGGTACTGAAAATGTTAATTTTATTCCTCTTATTGTAAACTTTCTGAAGTTAACTCCTGGCTAATACTTTATTGCCTATTATCTCTACAGACAGAAAAGTAAAATCTTTTTGACTCATAATTCACAAAAGCCAAAATCAAAGCTCCAAATTTGGAAGAAAAAACAAAAGAATCAAAATGTTTAACAGATTCTGCTAGTAAAAAGCTGAGAAAATGTAGTATCAGCATTAGAAGAAAAAGCAGTGTGTGGCACTGAAGGGATTATTTGGATTAACTAAAGAGAAAAGAACACTTCTGCCTGGAATATTCAAATATATACAAAAGTAGTTTGTCTCCATGACCACAAGCTTATTTAGTTCAACTGCGTACCTCACATTACCCATGCTGAGAATATGAAGTGTAGTGGTGCAGGCTTGCCTAGCATGCACAGGACTCTAGGTTGGACTCCCAGCACAGCAAGCAGAAAGAAGCATTTCACCCACATCATTAAAGAGAGAGCACAAGGGCCAGGGATATGGCTCAGTGGAATAAGCGCTTCCCAGGCAAGTGCAAGGGCCTGAGTTCAATCCCCGGTTCCGCCAAAAAAAAAAAAAAAAAAAAAGAAAGAGAGCACAGATCACCTTTTATGTTTATAAAAGCATGACAAACAAAAGAGCTAAGAAAGGAACAAACTCAAAATTCAAAACTCTTTCTTCAAATGGCATATATTTCCATATGAAACACCAAAATATGAGTTAAATACACAAGGATCAGAATAAATCTTTCTTCATGACTTGGCCAAATTCTCCTTGAATACAAGAGAATGTTCTGGACTCCAATATGATTTCTCAAGAGTGATAAGTAAACTAGTAATAATGTTAAGTCTCCAACATGAAGAATCTTGGCAATAAAAACAGACAGTTAATTCTATTTAGGAGTCAGGGCAGCCCTGCCAGTGTGGCTCCCAAGTGAGGTAATGTCCACGGCTCTTTATCTGGCCTCTATTGGGATTTAATGTCATTTACCCTTGGCTTTTACGAATCTGTGCATAAGCTCACCTTTTCAAATGTGTATTTCCATCTATTTCAACATTACAATTATGAACCTCTGATTCTGAAAACGATTAAGAAATGAATCCCACATGTATTTTTTTTTTTTTTTTGCAAGTCATAACTTGAGTCTTTCTTCTAATCTCAAAAAATTCAGAGATCAGCACATTTCTTGTTTTAAAGGTATACTATAGAAACACTCTGCGGTTTGATATATTTATGTAAACATTTTCAAAGTCAAAATGTATAATTCAAGAAAATGTTCTGTGAAAGAATTTGTTTTCTGATTACAAAATGATTTCCTGCTTTTGAAAAAAATAACAGTCTTATATTTACTTAGCTGGCTCGGAAGGTCCCATGAAGATTATCATTCCTCTCGATCCCTAACATCTTTTTTCCAGGTGCAGACCTTTACTGGTTTCAAAGGTAGCTTTATGTTGAGAAGGAACCTACAGGGTGTAGAACCAAGAGAGAAAAAGAGCCTCCCAACTTAACCCCTTGTGCTTTCTCCACGAAGCACCACAGAGTGAAAGAAAGCCCTTACAACACAGATGTGACACTCAGATGAACATGACAGAAGATTTAGCACGTGTCTTTGACATCCTTTTTCTGATCAGACTAAAACACCTTTAAAAGGCAGGAGTGTGTTTGACAACAGAAACACAATACCCAACATCCACAACATTGTGGATGAGACATCCACAACATGTCTTCCAACAAGCCCTTCACATCACCAGCATTATGAATAAGAGCAACAACCAGACAATGCCAGCACTAAGGAAGAGAGTTATCTTTCCATAGTTTCACCATATAGCAAAGTCAACTTTAAAATACTGTAGCCCAGACATAGAGCAAAGATTATGTGTGATTGCTGGACAGACTGATGAAATGCAGCCAGGCCGTCAGCAGTGGTGGTGGTGGTGATGGTGGTGGTGGTGGTGAGATACGACTCGTCAGGGGCATTCATCTAACTAATGAAAAAGGGGAGGAGCAATTCCAACCACACTATGCCTGACAAAGTTCATCCAGAGTAGACTATCAACAAAGACACCCTGAGGCAACCCCCTTCAATCAATTGGGCCTTCATTCTAACTCCACTGCAGTTGGTACTTTGAAAAGCCCGTTTCACATTGCCCACTGTTACTAGGTGCTTTTCTCCGAGGTGGAGCAGTTTGACAGGCCCAAAGACCTCGGGGAAGTCTCTGGTTAGGCCCTAACTGCACTAACGTCTTTGGGCCACTGTGAACCACCCTTGTAACAATAAGTCTATCCCCTCTTCATCACAGGAATGTACAATGAGGCCACAAAGGAGATAAGCACTTAAGGGTTCATAATAAGAAACTATGGAGTGCTCCTGCTACACATAACACAAAGCAGATGATCCCAAAGTGCACTGTGGACTCTGGGAGTTCCAACATGCACCTATACTCCCAGCATTCTAGGTGGCTAAGGCAGGAAGATGACAGTTTTGAACCCAGCCAGGGAACTCCAAAGCTTAACGTTTTAAAAGAAGTAGGCCTGGGGGTGTAGCTCAAGTGAAAAGGCCCAGGGCTCAATCCCTAGCACTAAAGTAAATAAAAAAGTTCAGGTGAGTTTATCTTGTATTATCTCCTGGGGGTATCCTGTGTCTGTTTTCAGAGGTACACAAGATCAAACTACTTTCAAAGTGATGCTAAGATCTTAATTTCTTCCTTTACTTTCATTTTCTCAGGATATACAGTAGAGTCTGCCAAAGGCAACAAGGGACGTGAGCTGGTCTCACTCTGACAATTTTTTTTTTTTTTTTTTTGGGAACTGGGAATTGAACTCAGGCCCTTGCACTTGCCAGGGAAGTGCTTATTCCACTGAGCCATCAACCCAGCCCCTCACTCTGACAATTAATGGAGTATGTGCTTTTGGGTCCTGTGTTTTCATACATCTTCTGTTTTATTTTCTCATTAAATATTGACAGGCAACATCTTCTGAGGATCTTCAATAACTTTTAAGAGTGTAATGAAGTCTTTTTTTGGTTTGTTTGTGTTTGGTGCCGAGGACCAAATCCAGGGCTTCCAACTTGCTAGGTTGGAAGCATTCTACCACTGAACCAAATCCCCAGCCCCTGTAATGAAGTCTTGAGACCAATTTGAGAGCCATCAGCCTAGAACTTCAGTCCTACCCTAACCTGCAGCTTGCAGAGGGGCAGATTTCTCACCTACCAGAGCCTTTCTCAACGATGCACCCCCTGCAAAGGAAATTCCCCCCTTCGTATGGCTAACTTCTTCTGGTGTGCATATGATTTTCTGAACATAGGTCAGGTGGCCCTGCCATGTGTGTGGCTAGCACTTCACACACCATGTTGTGATTTTCTGTTCATTTTTTATTCTCATCTCCTCCCTGGCAAGGATCCCCTGTTCTGATTGTGACACTATAGGATGCAGTAGGCACTCAGTGAGTAGTTGCTGGACATACAAAACAGCCAGGGAAGGAAGGCAAAAAGGTGAGTTTATCTTGTATTATCACCTGTGGAGAATTAGCTATTAATTACTTGTTAAAATTATAATAATTATATATCTTACTCTATACCAGGTTCTGTTTTAAACACTTCATATGCATTAATTTAATTTATTTTCCTTAAAATCTCTATCAAGTACATATTACTTTTTGTTTATCTGTTTGCTTTGAGACCCGGTCTTGCTAGGCAGGTCAGGCTGGCCTTAAATTAAATTCATGGCGATCCTCTTGCCTCAGCCTCCTAAATGCTGGGATTACATGGGTGTGCTACCATGCCTAGCTGAAGGATACACCACTCATTGTTACCCTAATTTCAAAAATGAACATGCAGATGCACAGGTAGTGAAGGACAGGTATCTGATTCATAGCCTAGCTGGTCAGCTCCAAGCCCATGCTGGGAACCTTCCACACACTGCCTCCCACTTCGGCAGCATGGACCTTGCACTTGTGACAGCTATGGGGATCATGAGGCCAACTCGCCCTTCTCACATACCAGGAAAACGACCTGACATTTAAATCCCATCTGCAGCCCCACTCTATGTGGGACCACAACAGCATGTGTGCTAAAGATTTAGCGAGCACCACCTGTCCTGAAGTTGAGGTTGCACAGGACAGTCTCACCAAGAAGTCTTTTTCTTTATTCCTTGTACTTAAATCTTTTCTTTCTGCTAACAATAAATTAATTTGTATACTTACTCAAAATAAATGTTTCCTTCATAACATAGAGAAAGCAGGAAAAGAAAGGTTTGTGGTTTCCACATATCTCGGCTCTGCACTGTGGGATAAACTCTTCCTTGGCGTGTCTAACCTCTCTCCCTACCTCCTAGCAAACTACTCTCAAGGAAGACTCATAGCTTCCCGTGGGTAGAAAGTGGTCTTCAGGAAAGTGGTCTGCCAGCATACCTAATATAAAGAAGTACGTTGTAGAAAACACGTGGATAGTACAAAAGATAATCTGCCAGAAACACTGTGTCACACAGTAGTCATGTTTGAGATGAAAAAAGCATACAAAGAAGTAACCTTACTTACCTGGAGAAGGGTCCCATGAATGTGGTTTTGCCGGAAACGCTGGTCAGTACAGCTGGGGAGTGTACCCAGCAGGGCTCGGATTGTACTGGGAACCTGGTCTATCATAACAAGTGGGACCAAAGCACGGGCTGCCATTTCCCGGGAGCGGTAGATACGGGAGCGACCACACCTAGGAGGAAAGAAAAGCACAAACCCATTCAGTGCTGCCTTATATCTGTGTCTTTGTACAGATGGATGCCTTACCCACCTTGGCTCAAACAGCCCAGGGAGAGGTGGCAGGACATGCTCCCTATGCCAAATGTTTCCTATACAGTACTTCATTTATTCCAAATGATGTTGTTTTGTATTTGCATCAGTGCTACAAGTAACTTTGTTTTTTAAACGAATATAATTACAGGAGTTTGTATAGAAGGGCCCCCTCCAAAGTATAGCACCCCTGTGTGGCAGCACAAGTCCTGTTAAAATACTGACTCACTCCCATGAACCTGTAAATCTGTTTGTGATTTGTTTCTCAGGCACTAGGGTCTTGCAAATGTACCCAAGAGTCTGATCCAGGGTAGTATGGACACACACACACACACACACACACACACACACACACAATATTTCCATCATGGGATTAAATTTAGACATTTGGTTTGGAAAAAATAAAATAACAAAAATGGCTTACTTTTCAACAATGAAAATGTTTGTTATTTACTGGGTGCTTAACATGAGCAAAAAGCATTGTAAAGCTGGGTGTGGTGGCAAAAGCCTATAATCCCAGTACTTGGAAGACTGAGACAAGGGGACTGCCACAAGTTCAAGGCCAGCCTGGGCCATACAGTGAGACCCTGCCTAAAAACAAAACAAAACAAAACCAAAAAAAAAAGCACTGTGATATATGCTGTGAAAAGTAAGATCACCTTTGCCTCTAAGGATCCCATAGTCTGGTTGTTAAGAGAAGATATACATTTGAGGATATGACCAAGAGCACACTACAGTTGGAGAAAATGGTAAGCAAATGATGCTGGCAGTACAGCTACAGGAAATCAGAAAAGGAAGAATGGGAAGCAGGAAAGCATAATTCAAGCAGACAAGAGAAAACAGGAAGGTGTTTAGCCAGCATGTGTGGTGTACAAAGCAAGGACAGAAAGGGCCAGCCAAATAGCTCAGTGGATTACTGCACCTGCAAGCCGGTGCAACAGTCAGGGGTTTGATCCCTGGGCCTGCCATGCCAGCCCTGCCCCTGGGGCGCGCTGAGGCGATTGAGACAGTGTGGTGGCACATGCCTGTAATCCCAGCTCTTGAGAGGCTGTAAAACAGGTGGATCACTATGAGTCCGCTCTAGTAGTGAGACCCTGAACACCCTGTAGACCCTTCCTTAAAATACAACAACAAAAAGCAAGAGCAGAAATGCTCAAGGTATAAGGAGCTGTCTGACTGCAGCAGGGACCAAGAACCAGGAGTGGGGTGGGTCTCAGAGACCAAATCCTTGCCTTTGGGTTTATTCAAAGCCAAACAACTGGATAAAAGTTGATTCTTAAATAAGTGAAAATCATCAACAAGTACAGTTTTGAGATTCCAGAAAAGACTCTAGAAATGTTGGTCATCCAAGGTCTTCTTGACTTGGCAAACACTCTGAGCTTGACAGGCCACAACCATTTTGTTGAAGTTGCGTGCTAGATAGCCTTCAAAGGTATGGCATTGAAAGTCTGAGAGAGAGTCCAATATGGCAAGTACTACCTTAAATAAACATTTGACTAAAACTCTCCAGACATGATCCTTTATCTAACTAAAAAAACAACTAAACTTACAGAAATGTCTTAGATATCAAGATGAGTGAGGAAGATCAGAACACTGTAGACTCTGTAGGGGAAGGAAATGGTCTTTAAACTTTAAAAAGAAATTAATCAATGTTCTAAGAAAGAATTATTATTAAGATGTGATCCACTAGGACCACAGGGCCATGCAACCTTAGCATGCAGAGAGATAGAACCCTATGACTGAAATGCTTTTATCCCCTAGAGGAGTCACTGACACTTACCCTAATGTGACAATAAATACAGACAAAATTTCTGTATGAAGGGAATGACCTGAGTAGGAATTCATCATGGGTGTGGAGTGGGGGAGGAGGAGGTAAGGGGAGGAGGAGAGGTACAGGGCATGTGACAGCACTGTGCCAGCTTGCACAGAGATGGGGAGGCCTGCAGATAGCTTTGTCAGCACACAGAATTGGGACGAGGAAGTGCTCACACCACATCACTCCCTTGGGAAGACCCTGAGAGCTACGGTTACCATAGGAGCTAGAGTTCCTCCTGGTCACTGACTAGGTTCCAAAAGTTCCACCCACTCTTTCATTTATTTTCCTTTAAAATGATTGAATGTTTAATCTGTAATTAGTAAATACAAGAAAATGTTTGCTTTGGTCTATGAGGGGAGAAAATGTCATTGTACAAAGAAAAGAAAAAAGAAAAAAAAAAGAAAAGAAAACAAAGTAGGAAGAGCTCATAGGGACTGGAGACAAAGTGGGAGCTAAGGAGGCACCCCTCAGCGTGATGTTCACCCCTCACACTGAACATCTGTCTCTGCATTCTACTTTGAGCTGATCGTTCAGCAAGTGTTTGTTAATGACAGCATCCACAAGCCTGAAGTGCTTGACATTACAGAGGAAACTGGAGGATGTCTGCAACGTTGCCAGCATTTGTGTGCAGACTGGTTACCCAACTGTTGCATCAGTGCTCCGTTCTATCATCACTGGGTACAAGCGGGTCCTGGCTCTGTCTGTGGAGGCTGATTACACTTTCCCATTTGCTAAAAAGGTCAAGGCCTTCTTGGTTGATGCATCTGCATTTGTGGCTGCTGCCCTGTCACTACAGCCACCAATGCTGCAGCTGTCCCAGCTGAGGTGGGAACCAAGGAAGCATCAGAGAAGTCAGATGAAGATATGGGATTTGGTCTCTTTGACTGATCATCAAAAAGCAAACTACTTAGCCTGCCTGATTGGCAAAGCAAGGAATAAAGGCATACATCTGAATAAATAAATATCTGTTGTCAAAGTTCTCTGGCAGAAGGAAGGAAAGAAAAGGAAGTAGAAAGGAAAGAAAGAAAGAAAGAAAGAAAGAAAGAAAGAAAGAAAGAAAGAAAGAAAGCGAATGAACTCTGAAAATGCTTTGAAATTTAATTAGCAAATGACCTCACTGGCACAGTCATTTGTCAGAAGCTTTCCTTCTGTCTGTCCCCCAGCACCAGGACGTACACACTTTGTGTTAGTGTGTTTTATATCACGGAAAGGGCTTGTATGTAAATGTTTCCCTTCAAAAACAAATAACTGACGTGTTACAGATATTTAGTTTCCAATTAGCGGTAACCCTACATGAAAAGAGTCTCTCCCCTTTTGCTCCAGACCTTCAACAAATGACTACTTACCAAAGAAGTCTGGCATCCATATAGGAGAAAGAATGGAAAGTAGGAAAAGTGCCAGTACATTCTACTTTGTATACCCTGTAGTACAGTATTTTTTAAACACACAACCAGGTTAAAAAGCAACATTAAACCACTCCTAAAAAAAGTCATGCAGAGTCCTAGCCCAGGTCCAGTGAGTGTGCGGAGAGCTTCCTGCTACCCTGCGCCGGCTGGACCAGTACCAGCCCAGGCGCAGTGTGGGCTGGACCCTCTCCCACCCCCTTGGGCCGCCCCCCACC